TTTTTGCGGTACCAGGGATCAAACTCATGACCTTGGTGCTTGCCAGGCAGGAGCTTATGCCACTTATGCCACTGAGCTATATCCCCAGCCCCTATGCTTCTTTTTCTGACCTTCATGATCTGTGGGTGTCCTTCAGTGTGTGAGGGCAGGTCTATGATTAATTTTTAGGGCTGGTAAGATGAATATATGCAATTGTGGTGTCAAATTGATATGATTCTGCGTTTTGGAAGATGCAGAAGGAGTTATTTATATTTTGGAGTATGTGGTTTTGTATACACAGGTAATGTAAGACTCTGTATTTGGGCATATTTGCAAATTTATAGTATGCTGGTTAATTGTGCAGATATTTGATGCTTGGGAGAAGTCCACATGTCTTAAGTTTGTCAGTAGTACATCTCTTGGATGTGTGCACATGTGTGTGTGTGCCTGTGTTTCATAGAAATGACCAGATACTGTAGTTGTGTGAAGTAAGAACATTTGAGTGACTATGAGTACATGTATTTTAGTGGTATGGAAGTTTGGATGAATACTTCTTGGGGCTGTCTGTATTTCAGATTGGAATGTTTTTAGTCTAACTGAAATAAACATGCATGTGTCTCACGGAAAGGTGAGGTAGTTCACTTACACAGAGAAGTGTGGGGTTGTATTTATATGTACTAGATGTATGTGATGCAGCCATTTCTTAGTATTTCAAGTTGTACAAACTGTTTTCTACTAATCAGGAGTAATTTGGGATATTTAAAAAGTTTTCTGTATATTTTTAAATGGTATGCTGGAGATAGTTATCTGAATCTTTGGCATATGTTAGTCCATCTGCGGGTGGATGAATTACGTGATTTTTTTCCCATGGCAAATGACAATATTAGGAGTATTCAGAATGAATTTGTTTTGAGAATGCTGGGATATTTATGTGTATAGAAATGTTTCAGGAGTGAGAGTGAGAGTGAGAGGTTGTATAGTGGAGATGTGGTCTATAGTAGTGTTTTAGAGGATATAAATACTGAAGTCCTGGAAAATATTTCTGTGTTGTCTATTGATGTGTGGGAATTGTGTGTATATTAGTGTTCTGAGATCGTGTATGTGTGCATGTGAGTTGGTGCTGGGCATTGAACACAGCCCTTAGTGGTTTTTTAGTGTGTGTATATTTGTATATTTTGTGGATGTGCACATTTGGGGTCCATGAGTATACAAGAGGCTCAAGCATTCTTTTCGGATTTATTCTGGAATGTAATCCTAGAAGATTCTGGTGATGTTGCTTGAATGTGTGGTCCTGGCTTGCATTTGTTCTTATCTATTGAGAAGTGTAGTGTATTTGTGGCTGTGTGTATATTTGAGCTCATGGGTGTATAATGTGTGTGTTCTGGGAAATATGGGAGGTTAATTGTGTGTATTTCAAAAGACAGAAGCTGTGTAGATTGTGTGTGTATTCAGGAATTACGGAGTATATGTATTGTAAAATTCTGGATTTTGGTAAGGATCTTTTTTGTGTAATTTGTGTAACAATTATTTGGTGTGTTTGTATGTCTGTGCCAGTAGGGTGTTCATTGTATAAATATTGGCAGTGGGCTTGTTTTATATGTATGCTGTATGCATCGTTGCAGGGTTGACATGTAAACATTCAGGGTAGCTGTTTTTTTAAAAAAAAACATAAAAATGTGGATAGTAACCAGGATCTCTCTATGCGTTTAGAATACAGGTGGTGTTTTTTCCAATAGTGATCATTTTTCCCTGTGTCTAGTTGCATCTAGTTTGTAAGTAAAATTCATCATGCTGGGATGGTTAAAGGTTGTGTATTAAAAGTTAAGGGTTTCTTAAATTGCACGTGAAACACTTGAAAGAATCAACAACTGGGATCTCATCCTACTGAAAAGTTTCTGCACATATAAAGAAATCACCAGCAGAGTCAAAAGAAAACCCACAAACTTGGAAAAAATTTTAGCTGATTGTCCCTCAGACAAAGG